GCTTCGGAATAATTAGATCAACGCCTGAAGGACATGGTGCTCCCTTTTAGACATCCTCGCTGGCCTCCGCTTGGTGCAGGCAATCACAATGCTTCGAAACTACCTCTATAGGAAGGCCTTGGGCACAGAAAGACTCACAAAGGCTTGACAGAAAAGTGATTAAGGTGTGAGGAAATGCTTATCCAAAGGCGCAGCCAGAGACAATTCCATGAGTGTGTAGTTTGTGGACAGTTGCCATTTTGTCCTAGTATTGCGCTTTGTTTTCTTCTCTTTCGTAAACGCGCAGGACTGCATTCCCATTGTGTTTTAATGGTTGGATCCAGATCAGTGTGATGAGTGTGAAGCAGTGAAACTCTGCCAGGAGGCATCCATTCTGAAGTCATGGTTCAAGCACTTCGACACCAACATGTGCCCTGGAATGGTTTTGCAACGCTTTTCACCTTACTTAGGCAAGACATCTCTTATTGACATACACACACATACACATACACGCGGGCATGAAGTACCAATAGCGGTGCCCAACCACTTGAAGCCGGAAAAGCACGCATCCTACTTAGCCCCAGCTGGAGGAGAATTTGGGTGGGGGCTTTTGACAATCTGCATTTGGTCCAAGATTTGTCGTTCCAAACCTTAATTAGTCTCAACTACAAAAGATTCTCGTGGGCAGCGTGTGGTGCTTTTTAACTCTTTTCAGCAGTGAGTTTGTCCAGAAAAGCATGAGCACCTTTGGGTCAGACAAGGAGATGGTCGCCGCGGTAGTAGGACACATCCACTACAAAACAAGCATTGGCGGCGAGGAAGCCAGATAGTGAGGCGGTTTTGCTATATAGTAGCGAACACGCTTCAAACCGCTTGGAAGACACTTCCCCTCTTTTCCCGGGCCTCAAAGTACATTTGAGAAAGCCCTGGGTAACCCAGCTGAGGAATGGCATCATTGAGAAGTCCGAGTTTATTGAAAGAGCCTTGGCTACAACATGTCGACTTTGGATGTCGTTCACGAGTTGTTCATGTGTTTTGCATGTTGAATTTTCTATGGTTTACCCATTCGGCTCACGCTCACGTTCATCGTCCTAGACCGGGGTCGGCGGATTGAAGCAGACAAGACCATGGTTCCGACCAATTCCAACTTTTGGTGAATCAAGAGGGTCGTAGATTGTTTCCATGATGAGCTGAGCGCAGTAGATTTCCACGCACTCCAGCTCTGTGAGGAAGTCGAGGGATCGACCTTCCGGCCAAATCATCCGCTCCTTGCTGTTAGCAGCTTTGGCTCCCGGCTCACATGACCCCAAATCGCACCAACTCGCCATACTCGACTCAGAGGAGACCCATCCCTGCAAACTCACCACCCCACATGACATCTTGACAACGGCCGAAAGGCATCAGCCGGATGTCCTACCCGGGGAACCCCGTGGAGTTCTGGAACGAGCTGGAGTTGGCAGACGCGGAAACTATCAGCCTGCGAGCGCCTGGGAATGCAAGTGATGTTGCCGCATTTTTGGATTGAACTTGTACAGTAAAGGTCTGAAAAGACTGCTTGGAAACAGCATGAGACATCCAATCTGGTCGGGTTGGGTTTGGGTTGGGTGGGGTTTTGCCTTTCCTTGGCTCAGGGTGAAGTGTGTGATGGACAAAGACTTGTTCAACGTTTTTCCGTGACCGAACCCCACTGAGACTCCAAGTAGAATTTGCGACCGTGCAGGGATGATTAGGCAAGTTAAGTGGGTGGTGTGGGGTTTCTTTCTGACTTTAGCACAAGAGACCAGACCTGATAGAAATTGCAGTGGGCAAGACACCAAAAAGGAATGATCGGACGACCAGATGACCAGGCCGAGGGCTGTTGCATTATGCATCATCTACAAAAACCATCACATGTCACACATCCATTCACACCCTTCATACTTTGAACTTCGCCTGCCACTTATGAGGAGATCAGTGAAGAGCTGGCTGTCCTGTGGGGTCGCTTCCGGAAGTTCTGCGGGGTGACCTTCCTAGGCGATCGTTTCTTTTTGGTCAAGCCGAAGCGATGAATGCACTCTCGTCGCAACATGTCGAGTTTGGATGTTTGTGGGTGTGGTGTGTGATGTCTGCATTGATCACTGTGGAGGTGCTTGTGGTTTATTGCGGTGTTATGGTATAGCACCTTAGTACTTAGATGATCCTTGTGGGCCATTACGGGTGAAAAGAGCAAATTTCGTATGGGGTCATGGATGGGGCCGTTCGGGGCTGTTTCTGTTTCTGGTCGAATCGAACCGAAAGGTGTCCATCATTGAAGATTTTATGGGCGTGAGTTGACGGGAGTTCGTTCGGGCTCACGGGTCATTTCCTTTGCGGGATTTTGTGGGTTTCTACTTTTGATGTAGATGACAGTGAACCACTGAGTTATATTTTGCAGAGCTTCGGAGTCAGTGAAAGGCAGTCATCGACTCCCACAGCGGAGGCCCGAAGGACTTGCTCGTGCGCATTGCTGATCGGAAGGACGACGATGAAAGGCCCGGAATGCTGGGCCCGAAGCCCTTGACATGTAGAAAGCGTCCAACGATACAGGATACATGTCGGTGAAGGGTTGTAAGGACTTTGGCGGCGCACAAGAGGTGGGATGCAAAAGATTCCCTTGCCTTTGCACCTAAGACGAATGCATCCCTGGGCACAGCCAGGTTGGAGCCTTGACGCCTTCAACGATCATAGAATGTGGTACTCAACCCACATACTCCAAGAGAAGCTGGATGAGTCGATGAACTTGCCTTTCTTCAATTAATCCTCCCAAGAGCCAGGTTGGAAGATCGCTTCAACCGAGGGTCATCCCAGCAACCCAATGTCCCAACCCTATCTACTCACCTGAGTCAGTGGGCTGAGATGTGTGCGAGGGCAAACTCTAGCATTGCGAGTGGCAGGCGGAAGAGCGCCACCTTGGTTCGCTTGGCAGGCCCAGCAATTGAGGGGATTTGGGTTGGCGGGCCCCATATTCGGTGGATAGATAGTGATACAAAAAACATTATATATTTGTTTGGCATTTGAAGCAAAGACATTGTGAAATTCTGGGCGTGGGGGGACAGTGGGGAGGGAAGAGTGACAAGAAGCATGACGCAAGGCAGCGGGTCTTGCAAATGGACGCTTGTAAACCTGTAACGCATAGTAACCGTAACCTCTTGAGGACCAATGTGCGACATCTGCAAAGAGGCCTTGGGCAAGCCTTGAGCAAATCGGAGCACAGCGGCTAGACTTAAGGAACTTAAGTTAAGTGTGTCCAGCGAAACGACAAATTCATTCGAAGTATGCAATTATTTGAATTTAGTCTTGGATCACTGGTTTTTGGCCAACTGCCTCACCCAGCAACTAGCAGTCCTTGTGCTCGCGCAGTTGGTGCAAACGGCACGAGCCCGCTGATGGGTCCGTTGGTAGTGGACGCTACGCCACTTGTGCAGCAGTTGGAGGATTTGAGGGGCAGTCTTGTAGGGTCTGCTAGAGCTGATCCCGAGGCTTTGCACCTTGGAACTCGGACCCCGAAGATTTCTCACTTCTCACTGCTGCCAAGAGGGTGTATGATTTAGCTATCAGATGTCATCTACTTTGGGTGTGTTGCCTAGCCATTGATGTAGGCTTTTATCTCAGGAGGTGTGCCGTGTTCTGATCAGACCTCCTTTGGTGTGTTAGTAGCTTTGTAAGGTGCGGAAGTTCGGTAGTGTTTCCAAGGTGCAGAAGCCTCCGAGGCAACAATGGCGATACCAGGGTCCAAAACAATTTGTTCTGAGGCTGGCGCAACTTTGTTGAATCTGGAGTTTTCGCCTGTGAAGGCCAATTGAAAAAAAGGTGATTGGGGGTGACACATTGACACACGGTCTATTGGTTTGCATCATTCTCTAGACTGAGGCAATGGTGTGAAGGACTGCGCCGTTGTGGATGGACTGCAGGTGCTTGGGCTAGAGGCTTTCAGGTGGCACTAGTCTTGCTCACAAACAAGCGTAACATCCATCACCTTCGGTGATTCTGGGCCAAGCTCTGTTCTTGTCCTTTCGTGCTTGTATTTTGGAGGGTCAAGAAACCCAACAAGTATTTCATCAGGTCTGCTAGCCAAACTGATTGAGTCCCGAAGGGTCAAAGGCTCTCCTCACTCGAAAGCCTTGCGCACCGGTGATTGGCCGGTTCTTTTTACAGCGGGCTCTACAACCCGTGGCTGTCCAACGGCTGTACAGTACACGATTGATACATCCATCGCACCCGTCACGCCAGTCGTATTGCAGGTCATGAGGAGATCCTTTTCGAAGCCTTGGACCGGTATGATGAGGCCTTGCTGGGTCAGAGGCGCATGCCGTGTTGGCATTTGTTGTCTGGGCGTGACGTTGTGGCTTTGCTGGGGAAGAGCAGATTCACAAAAGTGACCCATGGCGAAGGAGATCACAACAGTTCTAGGAGGAGAACCTTTTGTTTTGGTCTTGCTACAGTATGGGTTTGGAAAGGATTGATGTATGTATTGGACATGGTGTGACCGGTCATTCGCGGCATGACAAAACAAGACCTCGTTCTACTCCTGCATGATGCGCTGGTGTGCACCTACTGATCGAATTACGGTATACAATTGCAAAACCGGACAATTGAACTCGAGATGTTGCATGTCACATGTCCAGTAGATTGGGTGTTTTCCCTAAAGCCAAGAAGCAGCCCGATCCCTTATATATATTCCAGGCCGGGGTGGCACAACATGTGTTGTTGGATGTTCCGGGTTGCGCCTATATACGAACCATCTCGGGCACATGCCGCATACGCCCAATGCCCTCCAAGCGCTGCCGAGTTAGCTTCGACTTTTAGTGAAGCCTGAAAGAAACAGTAATGAGATCACCAGGAATCCGACTGCCAAAAAGGTTCCACAGAACTGGATCCAATGATTTGTCACAAGCCAACAGAAATTCTGAGCTTTGTGTGGATTTACAGCGTTGCTTGAAACTGTTGCACCGTTGGAGACAATTGACTAGCACCATGTGACACGTCGCAGAAAACTACGATGTGATTTACCAAGGGCTCTTCCAGGAACCTAGTCTTGGGCCATGAAGGACACAACTGTGGTGCCGCGACTCGTTGAGTTCATCGCCCAGAACGGCGGCTCGATCGATCGGGCAAAGCTCTCAATTTTCCTCCAGAAGTATCCGAAGAGCAAATCTAACCTTGGTGACCTCTACGCATTCTGTGCCAGGCCAGTTGGGCAGGGTGTTACGGTGTTCTTGAACTTTTGCTGTGATCCAACAGAACTGTAAAGCTGCTCTGACCTCGGCAGGCACAAGCAGCACTTTTGCATTGCGAGAATTGCTGGATCTGCAGAGTTTTGCCTAACCGTGGTGGCACAACCACATCCAAAGCAGGGCGCAGCTAAGGCAGCTAAGCCACATCCAACGCAGCCCGTGACTTCTGTACCTAAACAGGCACCAATTTGTTCGGCACCCTGCACCTTTGCACAGCGGCAGTTTCCTCCTGCCCCTCCCATGCTTCCCCCTTTCCCTCTTTGTCCTTCTTTTCCCCTCCACCGACTCCCAACGGACTTTGTGAGACAGTCAACTTGGATACCGAAGCCTATCCCTAAGGAGCCTTGGGAACCAGCACATAGTCGAACAACCTTGGTACTTGCAGACTCAGTAAAACAGCCGACTGAGTCAACTTCCGGTCCTACACAGCCTCCAAAGATTCCAAAGGGAGCAGGGATCTGGGTGCCCAAGCAGCGAGCGGATCAAGTAGCCGAAGCCGATTTGCTGAGAAATTCCACGCCAGCAGAGCGCCAAGTAGGCTTGGCACTTGCAGACTTTGTGAAGGCTGCAGGTGGATTTGTGAAGATTGGAGATGCTGCGTGGGGTTTCTTCTCCAGGTATCCTGAGCACAAAGCTGCCTTGGGGAATGTATCCTTCATGGAGTTTTGCCACAAGCAGCCGGATCTCTTCTACTTGAACCATGAGCACACTGGGGAAGCAATCTTGAGCCTGGCATGTCAGACCACAGATATGCCTTCAAATGTGGCTACGGAGGCTACAGGTCCATCTGCGAATGAACAGTCACGCCAGGCTTGCATACCCGGGGTGAAAGTCAGGGAAGCCCTGGTGCAGTTCATCCAGTCTCATGGTGGTTCGATCGGGCATGCAGAGATGGGCAAGTTTCTGCAGAATTCGGCCTACAAGAAACAGATGTTCTCCAATGGCCAGACGGTGAGTCAATTCTGCAGACTGCATGAGGACTTTTTCATTTTCGAGAGGAGCAGCACCAGCCCTGCCTTTCGAGTTTCTCTCCGCAGCGCAGCCGCTCCTGCTACACAGACCTCTGAAAGTCCTGATGATGATGGCCGCTCAGACAACCTTAGCCATTCTATTTTGGTCTAAAGAGGGGGAGACAAGCAACTTCAGCCTTCTTGGAGGTTCCTGAAGTCTGCAACAGAGTCACCAGCTCGTTGCTAGCATAAGTGTTCAGCTGGAAATACATGTGCATGTTTTTTTGAGACTGAGAGTTTGTTTGATCGCTCCGTGGCTTATGTTGGCATGGCCTCGCTTCCTTCCCAGAGAAATATCCAGCCCCATTGAGATGATTCATGATTCACGATTCACATATAGATTCAAAGAGTCCTCTCCCAAGGAGAAGGACTTTCCGTCTAACAGTTTGATTTCCTCAAATCGATTTCACCATGTGATGTATTTCTGCTTAGGAATGCAGTGGGCAACAGTGGCAGAGAATATAGACCCCAGATGATCTGACATGTTCTTATCAATCAAACCCTTGCAAGGAGCTCAGAGGGGGTTATATAAACAAGTCCACCCACTTCTCCTGAAATTCAGTCGGCACTCGGGATCCATAGTTATGAGGGGGGTGGGAGAAGATTGCTGCCTCATTGAAGGTAGCGATTCCGAGAGCTCATTTGCGAGTGGCGAAGAAGATGGTTGGAGTGAGATTTCGGTGAAGCAGATCAAGTGGGCGCAAGACTCGATCAAGGCGGGCCAACGGATCCACATGATTTAAGATGAGAAGCTATGTAGTTCTGGATTTTTGTTGAAGTGATCGGTTGTTGGACAAACATTTCCTGTTGGGGCCATAAGATGGAAGCCTATCATGGGTAGTGATCAGTCTGGACTCTCCTGTAGCAGCAATCGCTTCCTCAGAACCTGAATTCCTTGGATTGTAATCGGATCGTTGATGTTGATTTCAACCCAGTTCGAAGGTGCAATTCCGGAATGGCTGGCTGCTGGTTGACACTTTGAAGGACCTGGTAGATGGACGCTTGAAACCGTCTCAGCTTCCCCCCTTTGCGGTTTGGCAGAGAGGCAGCGAATGGTTTGCCATTACCGGCAGCTTTGAGGTCTGAGCTAGTCAAGTTTGACCAAACTTCTGAGTGTGAGTTTCGCTGAGTTAAACACTTGGCACTGTGGACACCGGGGAATCGGGGCAGAAGATGTTATGATGTTGTGCATGGTGTTCGATAATCTCCAGTTCCCTCGCAACTGTTCTTCACAAAATAGAAGCACAGACAGAGAAGCAGGCAAAGGGCGGTTGGGTCTACATCAGGGCATTGCGCAGGGCCCAATCCCGATGAACAGGCAGAGGTAAGTAGTGTGGCCCCGTGGTGTGTTTGCTTTCTTGCGTAAGTTTGCTGGGCATTGTGCACGAGCACTCTTCATCTAGAGTCTAGCCAGGCGAGGCAAGTGTTTCAGGAACCAAGAAACAATGTGGAAAGTGTCCAGTATTTTCATTGTGTTGTTGCATGCTAGTGTACCATAGACATGGACTACCGCTCGTACTTTGGCTCAAGGAAAAGGTGCGACCCCTTTTGTGGTTGTTGTAGGCCGTTTTCCCGTAACTACAGGTTATCAGCCGTATCGCCATAAGTGCGGTACGTGCTTGACTATAGCCAGGCTACATCCACCGTAGGTAGTGCACTACCTAGTAGCCATGGCTGAGGGTGATGCTGGTTCGCGAGACGAGCGATCCCGTTCAGGTTATGTGCCCACGTCTCCTGCCGTGTCCGAATCACCAGCTGAGGAACTCCCTATGGTGCCGTTAGATCTACGTAGGCCTCCAGCACCTCCGTCATCTCACGCACAGGGGTCCGTCACCGGTCCGTCACCGTTCAGTGTTGAGGAACACAGCAGTCCAGAACGTTGATGCTAGACAAACTCATCAACAAGCACTTTTTGTCAACCAAGACAAGTCTGCAGAAGTGATGGAGGTCGCCGAACTCAGACACGAGGCACTGATGGCAGAACAGGGTCAACAGTTAGCTAGTGAAGCCATGCAGTTTCGTGACGCAGTAGCTAATGAAGCGAGAGCTCTTGCCACGGAGTCCTCGGAACACCATACAGCATTAACCCAACAAAAGTTGAGTGACATGAGCAATGCTCACAATGCAAGACAGGCTCTTGACAGACAAGCCTATCTTGATCAGTTGGCACTTTAGAAACACACAGCCATTGAGCATGAGCGAGCGCTTGCCAGGCAAAGAGAGGATGCCCTCCGGTCTGAGCTCGCTGAACAAGGAATTGAGGGAAAATTCGCCTCGGGGAACCGAGCGCCTGCAACACCAGTGCAGCCGTTTGCGTCTCCAGGCTCCCCAGCTATGCTCCCTGTGGGCCTCAGGACTTGCAAGGAGAAGTGCGGGAATCCTGGTGGAGGAGAGCCTCATCCATCAGATGCTGATGAGGAAGATGACAAAGACGATCACAAGTCCAAGAAGGACAAGAAGGAGAAGCGGAAAGAGAAGAAGAGCGACAAGAGCCCCAAGCGTCTCCATCTCCCCCACCCTCCGACTCATCAGATGATGATGACTCTGACGGCTCCAGCTCTGAGTCAAGCCGACTTGCGCGCATCATCCGCAAGGAGCTGAGGAAGCGGCAGAAAAAGTAAAAGGACAAGGATCGAGATTCTAGAGCCAAAGAGGCAGAGAAGCCCAAATTCCCGACGGCTGAGAAGTACAGGGACTGGAAAATCAAGGTAAGGGATAATATCGCTGCAGCCCCTGCAAAGCCAGACGAAGCCCGCATTTGGGTGGGCAAAGTCTATGCAGAAGGTTTTGCAATCCTTGACACAAAGCTGCTTGCCAGCCTTACTAATTGCGCAGAGGGGGACCTCGGTCGACAGATTGCAACGTTCAAAGAGCTCAGGGCAAGGGAGGAGAAACCCGTAAAGGGAAGGCGCTTACTCTTGAGGTTCGACAAGTACTTTGCTACCAGCATCAAGCATGGAGCTTTCTGTTGAGGCTGAGGTTCCGCGATGCCACAAAGCGATCTTTAGGTGCTAAAGACCCTGCCTTGCCAGCGCAGGAAGAGAAGAAAGGCATTTGCTTCGACTTCCAGAAAACGGGCAAATGCAAGCGCGGCAGCTTCTGTCCATACAAGCACGAGAAAGGCCACGAAAAGAGACTGTGCCTTTCAGCGACCAGAGAAGACTGTCCCTGCCAAGAAGGAGGACAAGAAGAAAAAGAAGGAAACGCCGCGTAAGAGAAGCAGCTCTCGTAGTCCATCAGGCTCCGATACCTCCACATACCTCCACTGGTTCTGAAAGCCAGCAGAAGAAAGGTGGAATATCCTCTTCTTCCAATGCGCCGGCAGCCGTCTGCCTCCTGCGTGCGATGGTCATGGCCGCAGCGGTCTCACAAGGATCCTCCGTCCCCATCATTCGCCCGCTGGGAAGCGTGGCCATGCCGGCGCTCGCCACACCACAAGCGATGAACCGATTTTGATACATCAGAAAACGTCAACAGTTTTGTAAAGCAACAGATTCGTTTTGACGATTGTCCAGGTGTGCATACCCACGTTGTTGAGTCTTCTTCCCATTGGAAGGCAGTTCAACCCCGTCCGAAGAAGAAGAAGCGACGCTTCACTCCCGATTACCAAGGTGACACTGAAGCTATCCGTTTCGCTACCGAGGACGCGGCCATCGCAGCCTCACACCTGCAAAGTGCCGTGAAGAATGAGCTCAACTGCTTGCCAGCTGAATGTTCATATCTTTGCAACTCTGACATTAGCTGTGTTATAGTGTTTCAAGTTGAAAAGTGTCACAGTCTTCGAACCCAGTGAGTTTACGTACTGCCAATGGTGTCTTTCAAGCAACTGATCATGCGCAAGTAAGTGTCCCGGTTTTGGGTACTGACATTCAACCCTATGTTCTTGAAGATTATGTTCCTTATTAGTTTGCCGTCGTCGACAGGTGTTGCAATGTCTGCAAGTGGTCAACCCTATGGTGTGACTAGTCAGTCGGGGGGGCCACGACCCATTGACCCATGATTCCTCTACCCGCATCCCCGGCAGAGCAGGCTGTTGAAATCGAGGACGATGAAGATCATCCGAATGGCGAGGATCCCGTTGATGAGGAACCAGAACTGTCGGATGATCGTTTGATTGAGAAACCATTGGACCCAAAGCGTGATAGGGGAACAATTGCATTCAAGGAAGAAGCACAGTCTATTCAGCATCTATTGACCCATACACCAAAGAATCCCTTTCGTCAAGCATGTTCCAGGGCAAAGATGACCAAAACACCATCTTATAGCAAAGGTGGTTCCACCCAAGTCGAAGCGGACAAGTTTGGACTCCTTCGTGACGATGAGGAAATGGACTTTGATGGGGGAACAGTAGCACTAGTGGTAAAGGATGTCGCTACTGATTTCCGGTATGTCTGCCCTGCTGCTCGGCGGTCAGCCTGAGAATGCGTTGCGCATTCAAGCATCTCATCAAGTCCACTGACGATTCGATGTAGGGATCTTCTATTCCGACAATTCGTCAGAACTCATCGCGACTGCAGAACGACTTGGATGGAGACACCAGGCAGGCTATGCCTATGTCTCTAAGACTAATGCGGTAGCAGAAAGGTCAATTCGTTGGGTCATCGATTGCACACGTGTCAACTTGGAGGAGGCAGGTCTTCACCATCAATATTGGGCGCATGCTGCGCGTCATGCATGCGTGGCAAGCAATATCGTCGACGCCCGGGAGGGTAGTTACTCGCCTTGGTCACAAAGGTTCGGTGAGAAATTCAATTGCCCTTTGGTTCCCTTTGGGTTGAGGATTGACTACTGGACAGGTCCAAAGAGCAAGAACAAAGCCTCTCTTCGATCTGAACCAACGTCGAATCCTGGGATTTTTCTAGGTTATGCCATTCAGCCCGCTTTGTGTGGAGAAAGGAATTCCTAGTTCTTCCGTTGAAGGATGTTATGGAGTCGAACTTTGCTGCTGAGATTCAACCAATTCGAGTCCATCAAATCGCTGTACCCGATGTTGGTGTGCATTTCCCTTGCAAAGGTAGGTACAAAATCATTCGTGAAGGCTTGTACCCGGGGATCACGATCTCGAGCAATCCACCTTCGATCGATGATGTTGGAGCAGCTAGTGTTTAGGGACTCATTGATGAGGAGCTCAGGCAAAATGGTGACCAAGAGTATGAACCTAGTGTACCACCGGAGCTTCCTGAGGCACTCGTTGATGTTGAAGCGCCAGACAGGTGAAAAGACTCTGATCCCCAAGAAGCAGCTTGACGCCGCCTGGGAAGGTGTGCCTTGGATGCCAATCCAGCCGGAGTCGAAACAACCATTGCAGAGACAAAGGACATCTTCCTGAAATATGGTACTCCGCCCTTTGTGGCACGGCCCGTCGGCCAGAAGGAGATTCGAGCCACCCCAGATGCTCAGCGTCCTTTGGATGTTGAGTGGGTGAAATTCGAATCGAAGGCAGAAAGTCTCTGATGATGCCAAGAGGTCAGGGGCACAGGTGCATGTTGGAAGTGTGTTGGAGTTGTGCGTCGAAAAGGGTAGTGAACTTCCCCAGAAAGACTCACTTGCAAATACAAGGGAAGGACCGCTTTCACGGTAACAAGGTCAAGAATGAGTCCGACATGGTTCACCAGGGCACAAGATAACACAGGGTGATGGCACGCAGGCCTACCCCCAAACGACTCTCAAAGGGAAGCGCGCGTGGATTAGGATCCCCAAGAACCGTTGGCCCAAGCAATGGCATGGCCGATACACCGATCGTTTTGGGAGGGTCACTGTGCGAGGAATTTCTAGGTAGGGTAGGCTTGAAGGCTGTGCACCCCGAGTGCTGGCACTCGATCTTCTGGCGCAATGAGTTGCGGTTGTTACTTGCAGGCTACGTTGATGACTTTAAGCTAGCCGGATCAGAGGAGGGCCATGAGGAAGGTTGGAAGCTCATTGGCAAGCGTATCGACATGGACACCCCGAAGAGGTTGGTGGGTATCTAGGTTGCGATCACGTTGCCACCAAGGACCTCAAACTGCCAATTGGCATCCACCCTTCTGCTCAGTCATGTGTTCGATCACTCTGTCCGGGACCCTGCTAGTC